GCTCACACCGCCCTCCCCGCGTGTCTGTGGCACCCGCGGGGTGTGTCTGAGCGCGGGGGTGGGCGCCGCCCGGGACCACCCGCCTGTCTCTCCCTCCCCGCCCAGGAGTGCTTCAGGTCCAACTGCATCACAGGCCGCCGCCTGATCCACGTGAACTGCTCTAACCTGCCCGCCATCGGCGTCACCGACTTCGGCCACATGCAGGTGCGGTCGCTGCGGGTCGCGGGGCTCCTCCCTCAGCCCCTCGGAGCCCGTCTCTGACCCTTCCCGCTTGCCAGCTGGCCAGGCTGCAGCGTGTCCGCCCAGGCAGGCTGCGTATTCAAAGAGTGAGCCTGGAACTGGACAAGCGAATTTGTTGAGCCGAACAGTTACATTTTGTGAGTCTTTTGAGGCATAAATCCTGAGCTGGGTGGAGATCGCACACTTCTCTGGGACACCGTGAGTGCATCAGAAGTGCTCAGCCTTTCTTTGAGCCTGTGCTGCTCCTCTTGCCCCATGAAACTGCTCAGCAAGATGCACGTGCCTTTCTTAGGTATCCCTGAGAACTTCTTTTCAGTAACTTTCCACTTAACTGATCTGTAGAACTTCAAAACATCTAGTCAGATTTAACCTGCAGCAATCGAGCAACCCAGTATTACTTCCTTGTTTTAGACTCTGCTGAGCACAAACAGCATCTCTGGCTCTTCCTCATTTTATAAACATGCAATTGTCTGGTCGTTTTCTTCTCAAACCTGTATCTTTTCTTTAACAAAGAATGATAGTTAAGCTAACTAGACTCAAGTTGGGGGCTACAGTCTCGCTTTCTAAAGCTTCCTGAAGGTTCTGAAAATAAGCCAGTTGACTTAAATTTCATTACCCTCGTCCCCCTCCCTAACGGAAACCACAGAGGGACTCAGAGCTGCATTTACAGAGCCAAATAATTTGTTTTGCATCATGATTTAAAGTTGCTTTCCCCAGAAGATACAATGTAGAAGGTCAAATAAACAGGAAGAGAGAAAAATCTTTATGCTTCAATGACTAGAGTATGAACCCTGTTTGTTTTATTCTAGAGCACCAAAAAGCAATTTCACCACAGTTCTGTCTGGCTGCACAGTCTTAACTCTTTGTTTGAAATTAAATATGCCACCAAAAACATTGATTAGTGCCACAACTTTGCCTGTTGGTTGGAGGAGAAGGTGTCAAATTACAACATTTAGTTTCTCAGGCAGCAGAGTATTTCTAGTACAAGCAGACACAGCCTTTATAGTAATTTGCATTTACCATAGATGACAAGAACATCTCACAGACTTCAGTAGAACCTCAGTGTTCTTGAAGATCATGCTCTATCCTGCTAGTTTGTGTTTTAGAGAACTTTACTCTGATAGAATCCAAGGGTGCAGAGCTCTGAGCAGGATGTGGTCATTTGGGTCTTTCAGGAAGTGTGTCCTAGAGCAAGTGCAAGGTTAAGGCACATCAGCTTGCCAAGAAGAAATATCAATGAGAGGCTGTCAACAGTCAAAACTGAGATAGTTACTATAGAAATAAACATGATAGCATCAGCTCAGTGAGACAGAAACTTTTAGCAATGTAGGGGAAATGGCAGTTTGGTAAAGAACCACGCAGTGCCTGATGTGGAAGTTATGCAGCATGAACAGGTGAAGCTACTGCAGGTTCTAATTCCACTGTACTGGTATTTTAAATACCAAAAACACTGAAGATACTAATCTGGTACACACAAAATAGGTTTCTGCACTTCACAGTCAAGCCATAGCTGGGGGAAGGCTTTGAGCAAATGCTGTGAGAGATCAGTAAAACTTTGGGAATTGTTTCAAAACTCCAGTCAAATCAGAAGGTGACATTCTCAGAAGTTATTTCAAAAATAATGGCAAGGCTCTGTTCCCTGACAGTTCCAGGTCTAGCTGGCTGAGACAGCCATTCACGCATCATGTTCTTAATGAACAATACGGTGTATTTGTTTAATTAGTTTTTATGCCTGTTCTGTGTATAGACTCAGTTGTTGACAATATAACTTAGCAAACAGCAATGTTTTTGCATTAGACAGAATAGACTCCAACTCATTCACCTGTAACCTGCTTGTTCTGTAAGTGCAAAGGGGAAAGCAAAACTATTTGTGCCACTAAGAGACCAGATGTGATGCCACCCCCCACGGTAAAGCTGAAGAATGAGTGATCTGCTCTGCTTTTGCAATGTCACCTGGGGCTCCTGCGTTCAGATCCCTCTCTAGTTGCAACTGTGAAACTGTTCCAAAATTCAGAAATTCAGCTTTTTTCTGCTGCTCTGACACAAAATGAATGGTGTTAGCTGTTGCCCTGTGAAATGATCATTTCTGGGTTTTTGTCTTGTATTTCAGGAGATTTCGCGACACGTGCGAGAATTGCTGGGGATTGAGGAGCCTTCCTTTCAGAGATCCATTGCCCTCCCATACAGAGACAACCTGGGTCTCTTCCTGGAGCGAAAGTCTCCAACAGGAAGGAAAGCAGATGCCCTCACTTTCTCACAGTTTATCCAGGAAGCAGGACTGGAGCCCTATGCTACAGTCCCTCCTGTGCAACAATCCCAGCCTGGGGTAGAAGCAGATGCTCTCCCTGTTATTGCAGGGCAGCCAGAGGCAGCACTAGAGACTGGCACTGCACTTCCACCTTCATAAGAATCCCAGCAGGGACAGCAGAATAAACCCCCATTACCTTGCAGTTTGTCCAAGGAGGTACAGTGCCACCTTCTCCCAACTATGGAAAAGGCAAATGCAACTCTTAGCCATTTGATGACAGCAAGCACATCCCTGCATTGGCTCTTTTCTGCAATCCTTCATTTGCTTCCAGGAACTAAGTGAAGCAGAAGCTGTAAATCAGAGTGAACCACTGTCTTTCACTTCTGCTTCACAGTTTATTAAAAAGACCAAAAAACAATCACAGACATATTTTAATTATCAATGATTGATAGCAACTTCCCTGCTGCTCAAGTGAATAGATTTCTCCCAGGCTTTACCGTCTGCAGACTGGGCTCACTGCAAAGCCCAGAGGTAAGGTAAATGACATATACAATAACTGGTGTACAGGTGTGGTGCCAGCTGCTGTCAGTGATTGTAATTAAGTCACTGAAGAGGCAAAACCTTTGCTGTCAGAACTCTTGCACACAAACTGTGAGCAGGAAGTTTTCTGCCCTGCACAGATGGAGGAAACAGAAGTCACTGAGTCATTTCAGTGCCTTCTGCTGAAGCAGGCTCTGCCACGTGCCGCTGGCTGGGGCTGCACATAAAATGGCCACCAGCCGTTCAGCATTGACTCCTACTTGCCCTGCAGGACAAACAAAATGTCAATTACCAAATGTGCATGCAGGTATGAAGAGATACTCTCATCTCCCCATTCCTGTGAAGAATTGCACTTGCAATCTGTCGCGATCTGCAACCTATTATATCTCCTTTTTGGAGTGAATTTAGCTTGTCAGGATCTGCCAAGGGGTCCGCACACGGCGCTCGCCTCTCACAGAGGAGCGGTGGCTTTGGCACTGACTGTTCGGGTGAGACACTTGCTTAGTGCTCACTAGTGTTGCCAATAACAGCCGCCAATCCCCAATTAGAATTTACAAATACACGGTTTATTGAGGGGAAAAATAATTTGGGGCAGGAGGTTCAAAAAAGGTAATTAAAACACATAGGAGCTGTGAAATATCTTTTAAACACCAAATACCAAGAACTTACATATGCCTTAATACTTATACATAGGTACACCTTATTTACACACCCAGATTAATTATCTATGAGGGGAGGAGGAAGGAGGGATATGCCCGACGCTTGTCCCATATGGGGACGTGTTTTTGCACAGACACTGAAGTCTTAAAAGGACTCCTTTCCAACAACCACCTTAACCAGCTAGAGAGCTGGTTCTTCCAGCTAGAAAGGTTCTTCCTGTTTGATGGACCCTCAGTGCCTTGGGTTAAAGTTAATCCATGGGCCTTAAGCCTTCCAGTGGAGACATGGCCACAGTAGGATTGTTAAATTTGCCGTGTAGTGATCTGTTTTAAAAAAAAAAAAAGGGGGAGGGGGTGGTGGCTGTAAAAACCATTCCTTACCCTTTCTCCCCCAGTGCACGTAGTTCATATCACAACTGAAACAGCACAGGAATATGTTGAGGTTCCCATCCCCCCTCATTGCAGGCAGATTCCCTCAAGTAAGTTCTCTCCTACCTTCTCCTTCCCCCTCCCTTTTTCAGACAGATCTCTGCTACTTGTCCTCCCTCCCTCAACCCTGCAATCAACAGCCACCATCGCTCAGGTTTAGTTGATGGGGGAAAAAAACTAGCTGGTAAGGAGGAGGAAGCAGTTATCCTTTGCAGGATCTGCAAACCCTTTACTAGTAAACAGCCTCCCCTCTAGCATGAAGCTCAGCATCACGTTCAGACCCTCACTGGTCTCCTCAGCAGAAGGCCAGGACTGGCCTGACTGCAGGTGCTGGGCACCCCCACAGGAGAGAAGGAGGGGATACAGGTCATACCCCCTGCACTCAGAGATACAGCAGTAGCTTGAAGTGAACATGTTGCACTGGGTTTGCTTTTTTTGACCTTGGAGGCTGCAGGCTGCTGCTTTGCACCTCCTTCCTTGGGCTGTCTCACAACAGGTGATGGTGCAGAGATAATCTGGGGCCCTGGCAGGAGTGGGGTTTTCAATGCCAGCACCATGTTTGATCTGGAGCTCCCTTGACTCCTTTTGGTTCTGTTTTCATGTTTGTAGCCACAAGGTCTACAGCTTTCTCTAGAGAAACAGAAAGCTGAAACTCTGAAGTATTCCTATGACTCCAGCAGCTGGGAACTTGGGGAAGTGACTGACCGGCAAAATCTTGTCATGTGCTCTAGCTTGTCCAGAGCATGCACACTGTGCTTGCCCCATGAGGTCCCAAACAACAGCAGCATGTCCAGGCTCTGAAGTGACATGGCCTATTTTACCTGAGGAGAGGTATCAGCAGTGACTAGGCTGAACACAACACAGGGTGTTTGGGTGGCAGGCCAGACAGCAGAGCAGACAGACAGTACATGCGATGGGAGGCATCAGAGGAATGTAACATCTGCACAGGCCACCAGCTGAGTGTGGTCATAAAATCACAGGAGCCCCTGCTTCTTACAGCTCTGCTGCAATAGTCAATGAAAAGGGGACTCAAAAGCCCACAGAACCAGCACAGGTGACCAAACAGCACCTCTGGACACCAGGAGCATGGTTACCTATGCTCTACCACATGCAGGTGAAACACAAAGCACTGCTCCCAGACCAGGACTGCTGCCTGCCTGCCCAAAAAAAGCACAGAGAGATTTTGGCTGCTGGCCATCACTGTTCCTACATGGAAAAGAGCAGCAGCAGGGTGTCATGGAGCAGGCAGCCTCTCTACCAGGAATAAACATGCAGAGACCTCAGGTGCCTTAGCTGCCTGGACCCAGTTCATGCACACTGATTTAAAGCCTTTAGCTGAAACAGCCAAGCCCTGTGATCTGGCTAGTTTTCAAGTTCTATAAAAAGCCATTTAATAATCCCTGCTTCCTTTCTGCCCTGAGATTATGAGAAAGAGGATTTTATTGTTCCAAGCATCTTCCTGGAGGACTGTTCTCCCCACTTGTCTTGTTTTATATAAGAGTTTACGTGGTCATTGACAGGTAGAATGCAAACAGTTGCTGTAATGCTGCAGGCTGATCTCCTCTCCTGGCTGAGCTTTCAGAGCCCAGTGAGAAGCTTGTCTGCTGCAATTGACCCTGCAGCCATGAAACGACGAGAGGGATATCTTCATTTCAGCACTGCTGCTCCTTTGGGGAGATGTTTTCTCTGTTGGTTCATTATTTCACAACCTGAAATTTCAGTTACTGACCAGACTCTTGGCAAATGACAAGGAGAATTTTGAAGAGCCACAAAAAGAGGTGGATTAAACTAAAATGGGCCTTAAACTATCAAGTGTTCAAACAACAGGGTTCATGTCTCTACTACACTCAGATGGGACTGATAAAAAAAGCAAAAAACCTAATCTTTGGCAAACAGTGGGTTCCTAACCAAATAAAGATCTTTTCTACAACAGCATTCTCTTTTTCCTCAACAAAAAACCTGGAGTTTCCATATCTTCAATAATTTTGGCAAAGAAGCATTATTTCATGAGTTATGCTTCAAGTGCTATAAAAATGCAGTTAAAAGTCCACATAAATGCACTTCAACTTCCAGGCCCAGGCTGGGGAGCACTTGCCCAGGCTCTCAGGGTGTCTGGTGGGAAAACAGATACTGGGGTACAGAGCCCAGCTCAGCATCAGGAGCTCTTGGGCCAGCTGCTTCCCAAGGTGTCCCCCTCCAATAATCCTGACCTTCAGGCTGTGGCTGTCCCCCAAGGAAGTCAGCAAACCCTTCTCAGTCCTACTTTGCCTGGGGAAGCAGAGAAATTGGCATCAGCCCAGCACAAGCCACAGTTTACCCAGACCACTTGTGGTCCTACCCTTCCAGGAAGGGTCCTGTGCCATTTGTCTGGATGGCACATCCCAACCTCACTGCTTGCATTCAGCCCAATCCAGCCCCTGCTCTCCGATGGGATTGCTGGGGAGGTAGAGGCTGAGTGACTGCAGCCTGGCATGCAGAGCACTTGTGGTCTTGGGGCTAGACCCACTCCAAAGCAAAGCACACCACCCATGCTGAGGCTAACTGGCCTCTAACTGTAAAGCAGCTCAGCAATTAATGCTGATCCCTGTCAACCCACATGATGGCCAAGCTCAGGGACAAGTCAGTAGGAGGACAATAAGCTAATGATAGGAAAGGCTGCTGCTGCGGGACATGGGACAGCACATGCTGGTGTGCTTGGCCCATTATAAATCATAGAGACTATTGGCAGAAATAAGTCAGAAGTGTTGGGCTGTACAAGGTTTCCTGGGATGAAACTTTGGTGCATTCCTTGGTTTTCTGAGGGGAAAGCTAGTCCAAGTGACTTCAGACTGATGGTAAGTTTACAAATTGAGATGTTCACTAACCAGCAAGTGTGAGTTCAAACAGTAGGTGAGTTTTTAACAATGCAGAACCAGATTAAAAGGTAACAAATTGTAGCATTGTGTAGCAATACCTATATAATGCTTAAACTCATACAGAGCTGGTGTGAACCACCCAAGAAACTCCCGGCAGAGACCAGCTACCTTCCCCAGTCCTCCCAGTGCCATGTTCATGCTGTTTAGACCAATAGCAGAACAATCAGCAGTGTGTCTGGTTTAGGTCAGTTTTAGCTTGGTAAAGCAACAGTATTTGGGGAGGGCTGGCACGTCAAGGTTTCTCCCTGATGTGCCTGTGTCGCCCAGCCAGCACATTTTACTGACCAGGAGAAGCTTGCTTCCATCTTACCTGAGGTAGAGAAGTTTGCAGAGGCACACACATTCTCTGCCAGCCCATTGCCAGACACACCAAAGCCTCCTCACCCTCTGCTGCTTCAGCAGCTTGAGAAGCCTTGAAAGGCTCGGTAATGTCCCACATCTTGGCCACGCATCAGAAGGACATGCATCAGCAGTGAGGACTTACAAGAGGGACATGGCCTCCACCCACACACCTCCCAGCACCTGCCAGGGTTGTACCTGCAGCGTGAGACCCCAGCCCTTCTCTGGGTTTCTCCTTGCAAACACAGGACCTAGGAAAGTGTCTGTTCCCACATACAACACAGCCACCAAGAGCAAGACGCACCAGCAGACATCTGAATGCCTGCTTTCTCTGGTGCTGTGTTTCTCTGTTACACAAGTCCCAGCTGGATTTTAAAGCCCAGCCACCTGGAAACTGCTGACACAGAACTTGGGACAAACTTCATTGGAGCTGCTCCTGGGCTGGAAGTAATGAGAAAATCAAACATTCAGCAAGTGGCTCAGTTTTCCAGTTAAAAGTTACCTTTTCATTTGCTCTCTGAGGGGCCCAGCCAGCCCAGCCTGGGCACTGCTACTGCCACAGCAAACCTCCAGTTCCTTAAGAATTGCACTTTCACCCAGGGGAACTGGGAGCATTTTCCAGAGCCACTGCTGCATTCCCTGGAGCACAGAAGCATGCATAAATTAATTGTGGGGAAAGACCACCCTCACTGAAGCTGCCTCTGTTGTTTTTTTTCTGCTGGGTACAGCTGCGCCAGCCCAAGAGCCAGCAGCTAGGTTAGCACAAAAACCTTAAGAGGGCAAGGGCTGAAAAAGGCTCTGTGCCAGCTCCTGCCCACACATTCATGGGGAAAAGGAAGTTTTTTTTTCTCAACCACAAGGCTGGCCTCTCCAGTGGAGGGAAATGGCCTGAGCCTCCAAAGGAAGAAAAAACCCCATTTACCACCTTCATGCAAATTCTATCCATAATCTACATCATCAGCTAGACTGTGCTGCCTAAAAGCAGATACATGTCAAAAGTACAAAGGCCCTAGGACAGGTATTCAAGAGGAAACCTGTATTCCACTGAAGCTGTCCCAAAATCATCTGCAGCAGTTGAGCAGTGCCTGCCACACTACAAAACAAACAAACTCAACTAAAACCATCAGCTCCACAGTAGTTTTAAGTTTAATACTTCCATAAACCCCAACCCTCCCCAGCCATAGGACTCATTTCCCTGGAAATCCTCTTCTTCCTGCCCACACAGAATCATCATGGGTAGTCTGTGAGCTGTGGCCTCAGAGGAACCCAGGAGTAACTTAGGGATTCCAAATGCTGCCTTACAGGCACACTTTCCCTGATGCACCATGCGCAATCAAGCAGATACATTCACTACAGTATCCTGGTGCTCCAAAAGGTGCTCACAAAGCTGGGATCCAGCTCCCAATATTGCGGTGACTAGGACTAAATCACTAACCCTGCCCCACGTGGCACACCAGCATTTTCTGTTACAAGTGGTCCTGCTTTGCTTGGGACATTGGCAGTGTGAATACCCGTAGGTTAGAAGAACTGCATCCTGCAAACTGTATGCTGACGTGAAGGGCGCAGTAGGCATAGCCAGGTCACAGCTGCCCTGCTGCTGGACCTACACATCTCACATCTGCGTCATTAGTCACACCACAAGAGCAGCAACCAGGACCCAAGCTTGGAGAATACAGGCCAAAAGATTTATTTTATGGCTTCATCAGATTCCTCCAAGAGTTGAATGCAAGCAGGGCAAGAATTGAAAACAAGAGGCAGTGGGCACAGTGAAACATGAGAGCCCATATGAAGACAAGAAAACGCCTTTTTACCGTGAGTGGTCAAATTCAGGAACAGGATGCCCAGAGGAGTTATGTCACCTCCAGCTGTGAAGATACCAAAAACCCCAAAAGACACAGTCCCAGTCTGCCTGTTCCAGGTGGCCCTGCTTGAGCAGGATTGGACTAGGTGATCAAGATGTTCCTTCCAACCTAAATGAATCTGTGAGGAAAAAGATCTAAACACCAACACAGTGCACAGTGCAGCAGGGAGGCTGGAACTCAAATCTGCCCTCAGACAGGTACATTGCTACATAGAAGCTTCACCTTTGTGTGACCAATCCTGGAGCAGCAAACTGTTCCACAACAATAATTTATGTGTTGATGGCTTTGAAGGTGTGAAAATAGGTACTGCTGCAAGCAAAGGCATTCAGTGGTGACATGCACTGTGCTTTCCAGGACATGAGAAAACAACCTGCATACTCACTTTGTGGGAGGTGTGATAAGTTGCTCAGGATTAGCAGACAGAGTGACAAAGCACTCAGTGTGGGAAGAAAATAAATAGCCCAAGGAGAAAGAGACAGCTTTATTTAAGGAACTGAAGTGGAAGGTCTGGAAGGATGAAGCAAACAGTTGCCTGAGGAGTTATGTTTCTGAGAAAGTGCAATTCAGTCCTTCCTGGCATAACACTCTCAGAGAAAAGGGCTGCTGGGGTGAGCAGGCTTGCTCCAAGTGAGAGGGGTCCCTCCTTGCTCTCCAGCCAACCCAGCAGGGCTTGGACCAGCTCCACACTAGGTGCCTGTTCTTCCATGAAAAAGAGATCTCCCAAGAGCTGCCAAGTGCCAGCACAAGGATACTGGCAGGGGCTGCTGTCCTGGCTCTCTGCAGGAGTTTGTACATCACCCCTTTTCCTAGGACGAGCCAGAACAAACCAACAACAACAACAAAAAAGCTCTAAGGTGCAGTTGGTCCTTTCCCACCACACACTCTTTGATGCAGGGAGAACACAGTCCAGTAGGCTTTACTCCAGCCACAGCCACGACTGGTGATGCCCAAGCCAGCTTGAGTGTTACAGGGACTGGTCAGCACTGTCTGGTGGAGGGACCCACAAGTGTAACTGACCTGTTTGTCTTGCAAGAATAAGCCCAGGCACCACCCAGAGCAAACACAACCTTTCTGTGCCCAGCAACTTCCTTCCATAAACAAAAGTGATGCCTGGCTTACAGCCCAGTCAAAGAGAATCAGATTCCAAAAAGAATCAACCCTGATGGATCAGTACCATGGTTTCGGTGGCTACATTGGAGCAGCTGCCTTCAACCAGCTTGAATGCCACTGTTCCACAAGCCATGGGCACCCACTCTCACCAACAAATGTTCATCATGAAATTAGTAGTAATAGCATTGCTCTGTGGGCACTGGTCCAGGTTTTACAGTTTCCTCTTTCACTGGCAAGGCAATGGCCAAGCAGGCTGCTTCACGGGTGCTCAGTTCTTCCATCGGATTTGCTGAAAGAGAGGACATGACTAACATCAGGGCTGAACATAGATCCCTCAAGGGCCAAGGTAGTGAGTCCCAATCCCTGACACCAATGGCCAGAGGGTGACATTTCTATCAGTTTCACCCTTCCTTCCTACAGTGAATGTAACCCCAAATGTAAGATTAGCTTCCCAGCAAGGATAAGAAGTATGCAGGATAGCCATGCCCTTACACCTCATCTATGACTGTTTCTGATGAGAGCCTCTGGAAGAAACTTACCGTGTTGTTGAGAATGCTGTTTATCTTCTCTTCTTCTGCAGAGCCTCGCTCCACCTTGCATTTGTATGCTGTCAGCTGGATGCGGTCCTTCAGATCCCTGTATGTCTAAACAGCAAAACCAGCACCCAGCTGAGCGAAGAGGACACTTCCACAGTTAGATGGTGCCCTGTAGATGAGCAGGGCAGCTCTTCAATCCCTCAAGTTCTCAGCACAGCACAAATGCTAGGAGCCACTCTCCTGGCTCACGTGGCTTCTACTGGGAACCATATCACTGCTCCCTGGCCACAGGGATAAACAAACCCAACCAGGCATATGACAGCAGTGGCCCATGCAGAGAACAGGAAAGCTAGGGAGAAAAAGCTGGCCCTTGTCCCATCTTTTCACACACACAGCAAGAACCTACCTCAATGGCAACATCATGACACTTGTATTTAGTGGCAAGGTTCAACCGTGTCTCCACATCCTCCACCAGGCATACATATTCCTGCAGGACCTGCGAGGGAAGGAGGAGCGTCTCAGCTCCCTTCTGCAGGTACCTCCTGCCCCCTCTCATCCCATTCACAAAACCGCTGGAGGTCACTGATCACATAGACTTGTCACCATTCCTTCTTTCCTTCCTCAGGATCTCAGAGGCTATAAAGCTTTGCTCACAAAGCTCACTTGTGGGCTACCTCATTCCTATGGATCAAGTTAAGATCAGGAGAACTGCTGCCAGCCAGATTAAGCATAAGAAAAGTTGCTGTAGTAAACAAAGGTGGCAATGCACTGTGGGAGGAGAGTTCCCAGACAACTCTAGGTCTGCTGTCCCTCTTGCAGTCAGGACTCAGCCCTCACTACCACCCATAATTCACTGATGCATGGGGTGGCCCAGCTGAGTGCTGTGCCCACCTGGCAGAGCCAGCAAGCTCAGCAAGCTATTCTCCTGCTCCCAGCTAGGAAGCAGCTCACCTGGGGAATCATTCACACCCCAGATCCCAACAAAGAGCACGAGAACATAAGCAGTGGTTCCTTGCTTACCTGCACAGGAGCATTGTTCCTGTGCAAAATCTCCACCACCCGGTGGAAGCCAATAGGTGCCTTCTTCTTGGTGTAGCCCAGCCAGTTCTGAAATGAGAGCCAAACCCTATGATGAAGGACAATTCCTCCAGCCAGAAGAAAATGTTTTTCCCCAGTGTGAGCAACATATGCCATGAGCCACCACATGCACCACTGGAGAGCCCTGCAGGCAGTGGCTGGGTGCAGGTTGGCTGCAAACCTTTTGGTAACAGAGCATGGGGGCACCCCCTTCTCTGACCTTCTTGCTGCAGCCGGGCCTGGGCAGTAGAGGACTTAGGCAGGGAGAGGAGGAACATATTGCAACACCCTGCTGCAGACATGCTGGGCCCTGCTGAAGTAAAACCAGCCTGTCTGGTAACTCCAGAACAAACCAGCTATCAGTAGTAGATATCAGTACTTGGAACTGAGTCCCCAGCAAGGCTTTCTGCAGCTCACCTTGGTGGTGAAGAGGGCATCCACATCATCCCAAGCTCTAAGCTTGGCACGGGCAGCCAAGGCAGTCAGCACGTACTGCTTATCAGGAATCTGTAAGG